AGCTAGGAGTCCAAGATCAAGGTGTCCACCCCCAGGTTTGATTTTGTTGTAGACTCTCTCCGTGGCTTGCAGATACTCGTCTTCTTGCCGTGTCCTCACATGGTCTTTCCTCAGTGTGTACACATCCCCGGTGTCTCTCTGTGGGCCCTAATCTCTTCTTACAAGGACATCAGTCAGATTGGATTATGGCCACCATAGGGGCCTCATCTTAATTCAGTCACCTCTTTATGGGCCTTATCTCCAAACACAGTCACATTCTGAGGTATTAGGGGTTAGGGTGTCAACACATGAGTCTGGGGTGGGGGAGCACAATTCAGTCCATAGCACAGAGCCTTCTCACATATTCCATGTAGTCATTAACCCTCTCCAAAATCCCATAGCACCTTTACAACTTGTAGCACTTGATAGAGTTATCCATGTTTTTCTGTCTCCTCTGGTGGTTTATACTTTTCTTAAGGACAGAAACTGTCTCTTACTCAACTTGTTCTAATACTCCCCTGTTCTAATACTGAATAGGGCTTGATTGTTGGCTAAATTTTAAATATATAATTTAGTGTAAATCAGGCTAAATAGTAATATATTTTCCAGAATTTTTAGGAAATTAACAAAATATATAAACAATGTAATATATCTCCTGTTTTAGAAGTCTTTGAACATAGTTTGAGAATTTTTATCTTAGGCCTTTAAATTATACATAGTATAAGTGCTTTAATTTTTATAGGACTTTATATAACTCTTTTATGGTCTTTAAAATATAATCATCTAATTGACTTCTATAAGCTACCTATCGATTATTTCCATTTCATTACTCCCATTAAATTTGTTTTCAGGTAAAGATGAGTACCATGTCTTTTTGAAAACTGAAAATTTTACTTTTAGAAGACATTTGCTAACTCAGATTACTTCAAGTAAGTTTCTTTCATCCCTCTTAGCACCAATTTAAGATTGATTTAAAAGGTAAAGAATTAAGTCTGACTCTTTCTCAACTCTCAGATTTCTTAGAATATCTTAGCTTCACCTTGTATGTTGAACCACACATCTTAGAAAATAGTGGAACAATGACCTTTATTAAATTTCATTGCTTATTATAACATTTAAACTTGTGGTATTATATTTAAAATGAGACCAGCACCTCAGAATAATCTTTTATTTTGTATCCGTTCTAGTCTCATAGTCCTAACTATGTGCCAAACTCATGTTTTTAAAATACTTTTTGCATTATAGATATTATTTTGTTTTTCAGTGTAAGTCTTTATCTGGCTTTTCTAAATGATTGATGCCTTCTTGATCATTAAAGGAAGATATTTACTTAGAAGTTAAATAAATACCACTTGAATCTTAAAGGTGTAAGTATTTATTTAAAAACCTGGCTTTAGCCCTGGCTGGTGTGGCTCAGTGGATTGAGCACCGGCCTGCCAACAAAAAAACCGCTAGCTTTGAAAAGTCATCTTAACCAACCTCAACTCTTAAAAACTGTCTCCTAATGGTCTTTTGTCTTCATTCTCACTCCATATTCCGCTGCCAGATGGGTCTGTGTATAGAATGACTGCAGTAATTCTACTCACAAGTTGATGGCTCCTACTCACTGTCGGGTGGAACCCGTGCTCTTTTGACTGGTATTCAAAGCCCTCTACTGAGCTCCTGAAAATATCCCTAGTTTCACCAACTGGACTCTTTCCTATGTTTTAAATTTTCATTGTTTTTCCTGTCTGTGTCTTGACTTGTACTGTTTTTTCCTGGTGTTTTACTATGATGTTCCCTGTCCTCCCCCCCTTATCGTTTCCTGTGCCAGTTGAAATTTGGTGCAAGTTCTCAAGACTCAGCCCAGGTGCCAGCTCCTCCATGAAGCTTTCCCTGATTGCCTCAGCCATAAGCATTAGTTTGCCATCTGCTACTTCATCTAATATTTTGTTTTTGTCACTAAGATAGCACATTTTATCATGCAGTTTTATTACTTATGTTTATGTCTTATTTTGCCAACAAAAACTGTAAAATCAAACCTCTTGTCTAACTTATTTCCACCTCTCACAGCCTTCAGCATAGTCTTTAACAGAGTTTAGTAAATATTTGTTTAATAAATTAAGAATGTGTCTGGATTTCTCTCCCATCATGCCAGCCATTTTTCAGCCCTGCAGACACATACGGCTCCTCTTCATGGCAGCCATTGGTTCCCGTTATGCACTCCTGGCAGACCTTCCTTCTGCCATTGTATCCTAGAAAATACTGCCCGTGGTGTAATTAACAGGATAAACTCAGTTCCCAGCCTAAGAAATAAACTGTGTTCCAGAAGTTCATGTCTAATTCTGTTGTTTGGAATGCAGAAAGCATTTTTCCACAAAAACAATGTTATAAATAGTGCTTAAGTTCTCAGCCGTCCTCCCAAGACTGTTTAACTCATAAGTACAACACTGATTTAACTACAGATAGTCACCACATATAACACTGTTTTGCAGAGAAATTCTACATTTTGGATTTGGAAACAAGTCCCTCACACCCCAGGTGCCACTTTCTGGGTGGCGTGGCATGAACTGTGTCTCCAGCAGTGGCTCGACGTATTGGGTGCTCTCACACCAATGGCTTTTATAGATTCCAGTATTTGCATAAATGACATTTACCTGTAGTTTGCTGATACTCTTGCGTCCTCCAAATTGAGGGCAAGGGGACACTTGCTCTTCAGATTCTCCCCACAATAGATTAAGGTGGTAAACAGGGCTTCAGCTGTCCTACCATGTAGGTGGGTGATTTTTAAGTCAGGTAATTGACAGGTTAGGAACTGTTTTACTATGTCCTCCTTTCTGTTGGTCTACAAACTTATGGGAATTGAATATATAGGGGTGGGCAAAAGTAGGTTTACAGTTGCCAGTACACAAGACAGTTATTCTTTTATTGTTATTCTTGTATATTCTTCCATATGAACAATTCTAAACCTACTTTTTTTCTACCATGTATCAACATAGAAAATACTTCTATTGATAGGAAAAACACATTTATAGGTATCAACCTTATATTTAACATCACGTCAGTTTATGTGAATGAGGGATTGTCATGTCTTCATTTTTACATGGGCAGAGTGACACTGCCCGTGAAAACACGTCAGTGTGCACATAAACAAGCCTGGAGGCTGACAGTTCGTTTTGTCAGGCTGTAAGCGAATGTGTTCCGTCATCCTAGGCTTTGAGCACAAGAGTGAAAGTCTACTCATGTTTAATGCCATTGTAGATGCTAGGGGCTAGGGAGAGAGAACCATAGTATTAGGAAAAGTTTTCTTTTCCTCCAGGATCCTAAAATACAAGGAATAAGTATGAAAGGAACAGAGCTCAAACAATATGTTGTTAATAGCCATAAAATGCTTCATGAGGGTAACAGATGCCCTTGAGTGTCCGAATGGCAGTGCCCTTACGTTTCACCCTGGTTCTAAAGGTACTGGTGGGATTTCAGTCTGTCTCAGAGCCCCAGTGTTCAACCAGTGTGCCTGGGAATTTGTAAAACACGGGACAGCCGACTATCTAGTCAGGAGCACTGGCCTTCTCTTCCCTTAGATTGTCAAGTTTAAAAATGGCAACAGTTAACACAATAGACATCCAGTGTGAATCAGTCAAAATTTTACCCATTTTTGTCAGATCAGCAAAAAAATAAAATTTTGGATGTGCCACAGAAGTTTAGTAATTAGTTTATATGTGCCATGAGATGAAAAGGGTTGAAAATTGCTGCCTTAGAGGAATAGTGAAGATTTAAATAAAGAACTGGGGGAGAAATTTATATTCCAGGTTGGACTAACAGCGTGAAGAAACAACTAGAGACACAAAAACAAACAGACAAACAAACAAACAAAGCAGCAGCACTGGCTGCAACAGAAGGCTTAATCCATGTTGGCTGCAGTAATAGGTGGGAAAACTACACCAGTGATTCAAGCTTAGCAACGAATAAGAGTTACCCACAGATACTTTTAAAAATACAAGTCCCTGGATCTTGCCCCAGAACTAATAAGTAGAATTTCTGGGGCATGAGACATAAGCCTGTTTTCTTTTAAGGCTCCCCCAGTGACTGAGGACCCCTGAATTAGAAGGATGGGCCAGAGTTAGGGGAGCCACGAGTGCCTTGCTGAGGAGCCGGGGCTCTGTCTCTCAAGGAGTGGGAAGCCTCAGAGGTTTCTGAGATGGTTGACACGATCAGATTGATGGGTGCCAAGATAAATGATCCATCCACGGCTTATGAATGGAAGAGAAATAAGAAACAGCTTGAAGTAGAGCAGTGGTGGTGGGGAAAAAGGAGATGCTAACATCTGTAAGTGTCCTTACATGTGTGGGAGTTGATGATGTCAGCCTTGACCTCAGCATGATTTGTTTTATAAACTGATTATAAAGCTTCACCCTCATTAATGTGATCTCTTTTCTCTTACAACCTGGTAACTTAAACAGTAATTTCAGCCAGTTGCATTTAATGGAAGGAAACCATTGTCTACTCATGTACTCGTCTAACTCATAATAGTAAGTGAAGTTATGTGTATGAGGAATATGACCTTTAACATAAGCATTATGAAGCATTTAAACCACCCACATATGCAGTGACATAACCTCAGTTCTGCAGGATGGTGCCAAAAACTGGAGTCACATATATAAGATAGTTATTGGCACATAACTCTGTAGCATTTGGTCAAAACTTGAAGAAATATTCTAAATCATGCTCTGCATTTGAATATTTTTAGCATCAAATTTGATAATTGCTTAGTTTTTTGGCAGCAGACCCATGTATGCCTCCTGACAGCAGCGACTGCGCTTCCTCTGAGCTTCCGCTTCTCTTCTGCCGCCAGCCGCTGCCAGTGTGGCCCCAGGCCCCTGTCCATCCCCTGCTAGTCCCCGTCCGTCCGTGAGTGCTCCCAGCAGAGAGGAGATTTAAAGGAGTCTGATTGAAACTTCTCTTGTGTCGCCGACATGTTGGACAGTACTGGGGACTGTCTGGGCCAGTGTTGGGCAAGGCAGCTGCTAGGGCCCCCCCCACTCTGGAGTCTCAAACCATGCTACTAGTTGCAAATGTTTTATGCCTTTTGATGTGTTTTGAATATGTTACGGTTTGAAAACAGTGAGCCATATTTATTAGCAGACAGAGAATAAGTTCAAGGAGTGGTCTGACCCCTTTCAAAAAGACTCGACATCATGGAAATTTGTTTTGAAAGAGCCCCTTTTGGCTCCTCTGCAGTGGTACACACATGACCACGATTTCCGTGTGGTCCTCTTGGCCTGCGATCGTGAGTTTGTTGTTGTCTTGTTAATATCCGCATCTCCCTTGAGCACTCTTCTGTAGCTACTTAGGTTTCACTAAGCATGCAGGTGTTCAACCAGAGAATGGGTGGTCTGCTTAGATTGGAGGGGTCCTGTAGGAGAAAGGGAGGAGAGAGCTAATATCTGTTAGGCGTCCTCTCTGTGCTGTTCTCTGCATGTATTTTTATCATTTTAACTCCATTTTACCCGTGACCAAGTTGGGGTTTAGAGAGGTTTAAAAAATGTATCTGACGTCAAAACTAAGGAGAGCTTGGTTTTGATCCCAAGTGTATCTGGCTTTCTAAACAGCCTGGTCTTAGTCCGCGTGACTTATTTGTCAGGGAAAGATCAGCAAACTTGGAATCAGGGGCGTTGAGGACCAGCTCTTCCTCTGTCACCAACAGTGTCCAACAAGTTATGTAACGGTCTCAGCTTTAGTTTCTTCATCTGTCATATGGGGATAAAACCTGTGTTACTGGCCATTTGGGACTTTTACAAGAATAATAAACTAGCAAATTTCAGTGTGATATTATAGGTATAAAAACCAAAGGAAAATTGAGAGATTTCTAATTCAAGCAAAAAACAAATTAAAAAAACAAAACAAAACGTGAAATTGGATGACTTGTACAGATTGTGTGGTATTTCATTCCTTAACATTGCTGTACAGACTTTCCAAAGTAATGCTTGTCAGTTTTGCAAGTCTGAACACCAGGGTGTGCCAGACCGCATTGCTGAATTTAATATCTCGGTGTAGGAGATTGTCCTGGCAACACATCAGTTACTTCTTTTTGCTTACCAGAAGCAATCATTAGTCTTTATACAATATCAAATAGGTCTGAACTCTGGAAGGTACTGAAGAAATGTTCATAGCCAATGAGGACCAAGATGATTCTGAGATTACTTACTATATTTTTTGGACTATAAGACGTACTGTTTCCCTCAAAATTTGTGAGGAGTAATGGTTGTTAATGCTCCTGTTGAGTTCTGTTTACATTGACATTGGTGAAATACTTTGTTATTTATGTTAGTTACTTTACCACATTTTTGCTTCAAAATTTCTATTTTTCTCCTCTAAAACCTAGGTGTGTCTTATGGCCTGAAAAATATGGTAATAGCCATGGACTTAATAGACTCAAGTTGATGTTAACATTCTCAATAAAAAAATTCTTCATATTTTTGAAATTTTTTTACAAGCCTGAGTAATAAAGTCACATTTTATAAAACCATTTTGCACACAAAACTGCTTTTCAAAATGTTTCCAGTTTCCTGGCAACTTTTACAGGATTATAGGATGGTGAAGACTGAAAGACAGCTGCGAGGTATTGTAACCCATTTATGCTTCTCTAAGTATACATATAAGAAATTAGGGAACTCTTCATGTTGGGGCAGTACTGTGAATGAAGTGGCAGTGAGCCTGGGAAGTACCAGTGTCATGTCCTAAGCTAACCTAAAACCTTTACCCGATGAAAGCCTTAAGTCTCTTATACATCAGACTGGCAAAGACAAATGCCTTAGGAAGACCAGTTGACACAGTAAAGGAATGGTATCAGGCTTCAAATATGAATTCAGAAGAGTGCACCTGTTCAGTCTTGGATTCCTAAGTGTGCAGGACTCTTCTGCACCTGCCATATTCAGTACGTCCCAGAGGGGGTTCCCTGGTCCTCAGGGGCTGTCTTGGCCATGGCTCCCAAGGCCAGCACCGGGCCTGCTTCCTAGGTCTGGAGGGTGGATAATCACTCCAGTCGGGGCCTGGCCCAGTGAAGGGATGGGGCGTAGGCATGGAAAGCAAAGAAAACACACAAAGTAGAGGTTGTGGCCAGGTTTGGTCTAGAGGCGCATCATGTTTGTACAATGTTTGTTTTATTCATAAATTAGTCATTAGTGTTAATTTAACTAGTTACTGCTGTAATTTGTTAACCAATTTAAGGTACAAATCCAGATTTCTGGATTCTCTTGTAAAGTAAGATCTAGCAACTTTAGGCCTACCTTTCCACGGATCAGTAGCCAGGCAGGTAGAGGGAGGTAGAAGCTGCTTTTCAGTGCTCACAGCCCTGCCCCAGCTGTTGATGTTCTTTAAATAGGATTAAGAGGAAAGTTGAATGTTACTTATACTGCCATCTGTGTTAAAATTAGAAGTAATAGGTTGATAGGATGACGTATTTCAGTATAAGTGAAAAAAAGCACTAGTTTCCTAGGGTTATCATAACAACAGAAATATATGCTCTCACTGTTCTAGAAGCCAGAAGTCTGAAATCCAGTTGTTGGCATGGCCATTCTCCCTCAGAGGCCTCTAGGGGACGATCCTTCCTGCCTTTTCCAGCGTCAGGTAGCCCTGGATGTCCTTGGTTCGTGGCAGCACGACTCCAGTCTCCGCCTCCATCTTCTCTGGGCTGTCTGCCCTCTGTGTCCAACTTCCTCTTCTTAGAAGGAAAGCAGTCACACTTCATTCGGACCCGCCCAACCCAGTGTAACCTCACCTTAACCTGATTACACTTACAAAGTTTTTTTCCAAATAAGTTTACATAACATTTTTGGGAACACAACAACTCATAGTAGATGGCATATTTCATTGTGGAGTGCAGAATAGTGGCTTAAGAGCAGAGTGGCTGGATTCATATTTACAACTAATTTGCTGTGTGATTTTGGATAAGCTGCTTACCCCTCTCAGTGCTTCTGTGCCCCCATCTATAAAGTGAAGATAATGGTACCTACCTCATAGGGCTGAAGTAAGGACAAAATTAGTTAATATGGATAAAGCACTTACTATGTGTAGCACATACTAAGTGCTCAGTTAACTGAACTGTTATCATCATTATTATTGCTCGCTGTTATTCATACACAATTTTTATGCATATAAGGAGTAACAGTGCCAAAAGACTATTATTTAAGATAGCTTTATGAAACCATGAACAAGCTATGAACAGTAAATAGAAATGATGCATAAAAAGAACCAATAAAAGAAGTGAGAGACTGAAATTTAATAAGATTTACTTTTTAATGAAAATAAAATAATTGTAGTACATATAAAATGTCTAACTTCCTCACTCTTTTAGATTAGCTGCCCAGGCTCTCTGTGCATGTGAGACTTCAAACCCAGAAGCTCACATAGACCCTTGGGTTGGCCAGCACAATAGCCAGTGGAGAGTAATGAGGAAGTCAGTCTAGGGAGATCCTCCAAAGAACACAGGATCTCAAAGCATTCCTGCCTGGTTCCTTGGAATTACTGTATTTTTCAGACCATAAGATGCATCTAGGTTTTAAAGGAGGAAAATAGGAAAAAAATTTTTGAAGCAAAAAATGTGGTAAAACATTTAATAACATAAATAACATAATATTTCACCAATGCAAATGTAAACAGAACTCAACAGCAGCATTAACAACTATTTTCCTCCCAAGTTTGGAGGGCAGGGGGAGTACATCTTACAGTCCAAAAGTATGGTATTGTCTGCCTCCTTCCCGTAAATCCTGAGGTTGAAATTACCCTGGTTTCCAGTCTCTGGGTCAGAGATTCAGGCTGAATAATTCTTTGAATTTAAATCATACGTTTCCTCCTAAGGGAGCAGTTACTTTGAGCTAACTTACTTCATTTTTCATATAAGCTTTATGTAAGATAGCCATGTGCCTTGAGTTTTAATACAAACTGAGAGCTCTGATAGAGAAGGTTTAAAGAAATGATAAGACTTTTTGAAGTTCCTGGATGAAAATTGTTGTGTGGGTTAGTGGCTACGGGGTTGTAGTACCACAGAATGTGTGCAGGAGTGGGCAAAAGTAGCTTTACAGTGGTAATACAAATAAATAGCACAGTAAGAATAATCCAAGAGTAAGCTGTGTTCACAGACTTGCAGTTGCAAAACAAATCTACTTTTGTCCACCACTGTATGCCTCAATCTCCAACTGCTAACCTGAAAACATGAAAATATTCTAATAAAATCAAAGTATCTTACCTAAATGGTGAAAGGGACATATGTTTATGTTATTTATGATCCATGATTTTATTTAATAAAAGAAGTCAGGCTATTTAATTTTTGGCAATGAAGTTGCGTGCTGTAGTTCAAGTATTAGTAATTTGGAACGTTTTGATTAAATGAATTCATCAGGACTCCTTCGGTTGCAAGTGAAAGAAAGCTAGCTCAAGCCAGCTTATGAAAATAAAAGGAACTTAATTGTTTATATAACTTTGGTTTCCAGAGGTGCATCTGGCTGCAGGCATGGTTGCAGCCAGGAACTCCAATGATCTCATCAAGACTTCTTCGGCTCTGCTGTTTTCTTTATTCATCATTCCTCAAACAGACATGTGATCAGTGAGGTGGCCACCAGGCACTCCAGACTGTGGCCTTCCTAGCTGAGCAATCCCAACAGAAAGAGAGTGTCTTGGGCCACACATCCAGCTCTCTGCCCAGAGAAGATGTGAGTTCGACCCCACGTGTGATATCCCAGCAAATGGGGTACTCTGTGGGCCCAGCCCAAAGCATGTTTTCTCAGTGCTGCAGGAGTGGGCCCTGCCCAGTGACTGCGGGAGGCTTTCTCCAGAGGAATTGTAAGAAGGGAGAAGGGTGGAAGTGTGCTCAGCAGACCAAAACTGCAGTGGGTTCGAACTGTTACAAGTGGTATGTGAAATGATCTAGAGACTCTATCTATCTTCTTTAAAATTTGCCATTTTTAAAATGGCAAATTTTAAAATGGCAAAGGACGTTCTGCCTTCTATTAAAAAATCCTTCCAAAAGAAAATAGGAAAGAAAAATTTCAACTCTTTCTTTGATGAAAAGTAGGTGACCTCAGTAACTCTAATCTGTAAATGTGAACAGAAAGTGTAAGTATGGTAGTGTGATTTAGTAGAGCAGAAGGAGAAGAGGAAGACCTACAGAGGAGGGTAACAATGCCAGGAGGCAGCTTTGCCTTGCAGAACCTTAGGAGGTCATGTGATTGCAGGCGTCAGGGTCGGCTGAAGAGGGAAGGCAGGCATGGAGCTAGAAACACCATCCGCTGACAGTGTGTAAAAGGATCAGTTGGACACTGACTCAGGTCCTTATCTCATCCCAGAAGATGGGTGCTTTATTCTCTGGAGATATTGAAGCTACAGGGGATCTAGGCCCATGGACACATGGGCATTGGAGGCTGCCATTCAGTAAAAGTCTGCCCTGCTCTAAGAGTGCCAAGAGCCAAACTCCTAAACTGAACAGCCCTAGAGAAAGGCCCTGTAGCGGTTCCCCCTGGAGAAAGTCAGCTTGCTCTCCACTTGCTCTTCAGTGAAGGTCACCTTCAACAGCTCAGCCCCACAGACAGAGCCACCGACTTGCTGTAGTAATAATAACAATGTACACCAAGGTGGGGATAGTCAGCCAAGGATCACCACATATTTGGGAATGCCTCCAATATAAAGGCGAAGATAAAGTAAACAGAAACAAAGAAGTCTGGTGAGATAAGAACTCTCATTATCTTTGAAAATGTGGTAAATTTTTGCATAGAAAATAGTCTTTTTTAAAAAAGGAGAATCAAAGGAAAGAAAAATTAAAGAACAAGAAATAACTTGCACCCTGGCTGGTGTAGCTCAGTGGATTGAGTTCTGGTCTGTAAACCAAAGGATCGCGGTTTGATTCCCAGTCAGGGCACATGCCTGGGTTGCAGGCCAGTTCCTGGCGGGGGACGCACGAGAGGCAACCATATACATTGATATTTCTTCCTTCTCTCCTTCCCTTTCCCTCTAAAAATAAATAAATAAATTTTTTAAAAGAAATAACTTGCAAGAATTAGAAATACAGTGGTTGAAATAAAGTCATTGGAGAGGTTGAAAGATGAATTCCAGGAGGAAATAATCAGAAGTCCGACTCAGGAGGTCCAGTAGCTCACTGTACTAGAGAGAAACGGAAAAGGATTATCAAAGAAACTATATGACATTTTCCTAGAACAGAAGGAAGAAATAAATGTTAATGTTTCTAGAGAAGAAAAAAATTGTCATATACAGAGTGTTTTGAGTAAGAATAAACAAGAAAGAGACTTCTCTACATCAATACTGATATGGAAACATCTAAATTTGTGAAGTGTTCTCTTAAGGGATAATTTTTATCATAAAAAAACACTTCTTAAGAGTTACTGTCAAAAATCTCTAAATTAAAGTTTATTAGCACACTTAAAATATTCCACTTACAAATTCTCCATCATTGAAACTGATGTTTTTTTGTATTCTGAAGTATACCTGCAAATTTGGGTTTCAGAGATTTAGGGCATTTTCATGGTACTTATTCTGGTTCCTCATTTTTTGATTCACTAATGCATGCAACAGATGACTAGAGCATTCTTTTCTCAAGGTACTGTGGAATTGATATTTCTTATTTTATATGTGTCCCAACATATAATGATTTGAAGTGGCGAAGTTTAGGGTCCTCGTGTCTTTAAATGTTTGACTATTATTTTACATATATAAAAAGCTAAGTAAATATGAGTTATAAACTATCAGTATAAAATATTAGCTTCTGTCTTATCTTTTATCAATGAGAAAGACAGAGTGTCCTGAATGCTATTTTCTTCTAAAAATTAGAGATGGCATCAGAAGTTCAAATTTAGCATGCATATTTTTCAGTTTTAATGATTTGAAAAATATTTTAGGATTTAATGAATATTATTATTGACTGTATAACTAACAAAATATGCTACCATGACATTTTTAGATTAAAAGTCTTCTCCAAGTTACATTCGGTTTTTAAAACATTCTAACTTTGAGTAAATATTGCAAAAGAATCGTCATTTTTAGGCACAGATAGAGTACCCCCACTATAACCTTTTTGGATTAGTTTTTAAATACCAGTGAAATGGGAGGCAAGTGTCTTTTCCCACTCAGAAAAGTTAGACTTTATTTCTTAATGATTATAGTGAGATCAAAATAATACAGAAAAATAAAGAAGTGAAGAGTGCCAGGATTCTTCTTGCTAATACAGCTTTTTAGAATTCTGCTGAATTGCTTTTGCTATAAAAACCAGACCAACTAGCCTCGTATGGGTTTTCCAGGTATTGACATTTTGTAGAGGACTTTTGCAGTTGTTTTGGTCCAGTGAGGTCAAGAATTTTAAATTAGAACTATAGAACTGAAAGTCATCCTCTCATTCATTTTACAAGTCCTGAGAACTCATGATGTACCCAGAGTCACATAGTTAACAGACTGGATGAGAGTCGTGGCCCCTGGCAGTCAGTTCAGTGCTCTTTATAGAGGACCCTCCAGTGTATTCTCACCTCGATGACATTACATGCACTGTTCCTAATTTACTGCATTAGGCACAATTCATAAATCACAAGTTTTTATTTAATTTCCTAAAGCTGAGGGAACATTTAGGATTAGGAATATTGACAGTGACAAAAAACACGGGATGGCCTTGACCCATGTGGCTCAGTTGGAT